TGTGTGTGTGTGTGTGTGTCTGTGTTTTGACCTGGAGAGGACTGGGCTATCTCCTTTCCTTTAAGTATTTTGGGAAGTTGATTTTGTTCTGCTGGACCTGATCTGGTTGGAATATATAGGAAGAAGTTTGGATTTCCTTTGGTATTTGCTATTGGATTTCGACTTGGGTTTTGTTTATTTTTTTCTCTTACATGTGGAATACTTTGGGAGTTAATTAATCTGGAACTGGAACTCTTTGAGGCAAGTAGACTGTGACTTGGAGCTTATAAAGGAGCTGGAATTTCCGCTTGAATGTGAAAACAGACTTAAACTGTTTAGATTTCCAAGGATAAACACAATTTGTTTGCGCTATTGAGAAGAACATAGGAGCACCTGAGGAGGCCTATATTTGTCCCCCCTCCCCTTTTTTAAAAAAAAGAACAGTATAGAAAACTTTCCTGATTAATGTTTGATATAATTTGATATAAACCAGTAAAATAATTTCAGTGAAAATGTTTGGGAAATCTGGATTGGAGAATACTTATTATATTGAGTTTTTTTTTAGATATGATATTGGCTCTTTTAATTGTCAGTTGAGATATAGAATCTGGTAAGATAGAAAATAAGGGGAGAGGGGGAAACAGTAAAGATCTTGGGGGATCAATTGTATAATAGAGCAAAAATATTTTTTAAAGTTCTAATTATGAGTAAGATCAGTAAGGAAACTACCCCCCCCCCACACATCTGCAGCATCATTGCCTATTCCACAGACTAAATCACTGGGAACTATGCTGACATTGGAATCTTTGAAAGACCTTAAAAATGATATGCAAGTCATTTTTCAAACCAGCCTGAGCCAAACTCAGAATGATATGCAAACTAAATTTCACTCAGGTTTAAGTCAGGTGCAGAATGACTTGCAAGACAGATTTCAATCAGGCTTAAGCCAGGTGCAGACGGCCTTAATACAAGTCACAGATCAGATGAAGAATTTGAATACAGAGATTGGAGATGTAAAAGTTAAAATGACTGATCTCAACAAATAATTAATAGAAAATAAGAAGGAAATAACAGTGGTGGCACAGCAATCTAAGAAAGCTGAAGAGAAAGCTGAAGCAATATCATTGAGGGTGGACAGGTTGGATGTACAGCAGAAGACGGCTTTGGACTCTCTGATTGGAAACAGATAGAGCGGCTTATGTGCTGAGATTTCAGAATGTGCCTGAGCAAAAAAGAGAAGAGCTAATCAGAGTTATAGCAGAAGAACTGTCAGATTTTATGGTAGTTGAATATGAAGAAATAGAGAGGGAAATTGACTTCTTATATACTTTTTTTGCTTCATTTGACATACCCTCCAACCTCCCTGGCTGTGTGTGTTTGTATATCTGTATATTTTATTATATCGTTAAATATTTATATATACGGTACATTTTAAGTGCTGTTCTTTATACGTCCAGCATCACGTACACACATATACATACATATATATACATCAGGATATATATATATATATATATACTTACAGCAAATTCAATTACATTCCGATGTCTTACTCCAGAAGGAATTTTCTTCACGTTTGATTATCAAAGATTCAGATTATACTTCATCCTCAAGGCAAAAGACTTCTTGGACCGTTATGGAAAACTTTTACAAAAGGGAGAAATAAAGCAAAAACAAAAGTATCAACAACAGGAAAAGAAGAGAAAGTATCGCTTACTCAACAGCCTCAGATGAAGAACATGAGGCCAGTACATCCAAAAAACCATCTATGGAAGGAGGACCACAAAGAATGGCAACAAGAAACAGAAATGGTAGTAATAAGGATCTATCATAATGGATCTATCAACAATTTAAATATTTTCAGCAAATGTAAATGAACTAAATTCACCTGAGAAAAGACAAAAGATATTTAAACAACTTAAGAAGATAGATGACAATATTGTATGCTTGCAGGAAACACGTATTAGACATAAAGATGAACATTATCTGTTTAGTAAGAAACTTGGTAAACTATTTACTGCTTCGGGCAATGTAAAGAAAAGAGGAATAGCAGTCTGTGTTAAAGAAAAAACAAAACCTATTTTGGTATCTTCATTAGAAAATGGAAGACCTACTGGAAACAAATATTAGAGACAGGAAGATTTTATTGGTGGTGATATAGGCACTGAACAAATCGCAACTTAGTTTTTTTAAAAAAAATGGTGATGGAAACTATAACAAAATATGATTATATGGACATTTGTATGATCGGAGGTTTTAATTCTTTTTTTGATC